ATAAACAACCAGTCACTCACCCTTCCTCTTTCGTCTCTTCCACAAACAAATAAACAACCAGTCACTCATCCTTCTCTTTCGTCTCTTCCACAAACAATAACAACCAGTCACTCACCCTTCCTCTTTCGTCTCTTCCACAAACAAATAAACAACCAGTCATCACCTTCCTCTTTCGTCTCTTCCACAAACAATAAACAACCAGTCACTCACCCTTCCTCTTCGTCTCTTCACAAAACAAATAAACAACCAGTCACTCACCCTTCCTCTTTTCTCTTCCACAAACAAATAAACAACCAGTCACTCACCCTTCTCTTTCATCTCTTCCACAAACAAATAAACAACCAGTCACTCACCTTCCTCTTTCATCTCTTCCACAAAATAAACAACCAGTCACTCACCCCTTCCTCTTTCATCTCTTCCACAAACCAATAAACAACCAGTCACTCACCCTTCCTCTTTCATCTCTTCCACAAACAAATAAACAACCAGTCACTCACCCTTCCTCTTTCGTCTCTTCCACAAACAAAAACAACCAGTCACTCACCTTCCTCTTTCATCTCTTCCACAAACCAATAAACAACCAGTCACTCACCCTTCCTCTTTCGTCTCTTCCACAAAAATAAACAACCAGTCACTCACCCTTCCTCTTTCGTCTCTTCCACAACAAATAAACAACCAGTCACTCACCCTTCCTCTTTCGTCTCTTCCACAAACCAATAAACAACCAGTCACTCACCCTTCCTCTTTCGTCTCTTCCACAAAAATAAACAACCAGTCACTCACCTTCCTCTTTCATCTCTTCCACAAACAAATAAACAAGTCACTCACCCTTCCTCTTTCGTCTCTTCCACAAACAAATAAACAACCAGTCACTCCCTTCCTCTTTCGTCTCTTCCACAAACCAATAAACAACCAGTCACTCATCCTTCCTCTTTCATCTCTTCCACAAAGAAATAAACAACCAGTCACTCACCCTTCCTCTTTCATCTCTTCCACAAAGAAATAAACAACCAGTCACTCATCCTTCTCTTTCGTCTCTTCCACAAACAATAACAACCAGTCACTCATCCTTCCTCTTTCATCTCTTCCACAAAAAATAACAACCAGTCACTCATCCTTCCTCTTTCGTCTCTTCCACAAACCAATAAACAACCAGTCACTCACCCTTCTCTTTTCATCTCTTCCACAAAGAAATAAACAACCAGTCACTCACCCTTCCTCTTTCGTCTCTTCCACAAACCAATAAACAACCAGTCACTCACCCTTCCTCTTTCGTCTCTTCCACAAACAAATAAACAACCAGTCACTCACCCTTCCTCTTTCGTCTCTTCCACAAACAAATAAACAACCAGTCACTCATCCTTCCTCTTTCGTCTCTTCCACAAACCAATAAACAACCAGTCACTCACCCTTCCTCTTTCGTCTCTTCCACAAAGAAATAAACAACCAGTCACTCACCCTTCCTCTTTCGTCTCTTCCACAAAAAAATAAACAACCAGTCACTCACCCTTCCTCTTTCGTCTCTTCCACAAACAAATAAACAACCAGTCCTCTTCGTCTCTTCCACAAAGAAATAAACAACCAGTCACTCATCCTTCCTCTTTCGTCTCTTCCACAAAGAAATAAACAACCAGTCACTCACCTTCCTCTTTCATCTCTTCCACAAACAAATAAACAACCAGTCACTCACCCTTCCTCTTTCGTCTCTTCCACAAACAAATAAACAACCAGTCACTCACTCTTTCGTCTCTTCCACAAAGAAATAAACAACCAGTCACTCATCCTTCCTCTTTCGTCTCCACAAAAATAAAACCAGTCACTCACCCTTCCTCTTTCGTCTTTCCACAAAAATAAAACAACCAGTCACTCATCCTTCCTCTTTCGTCTCTTCCACAAACAATAAACAACCAGTCACTCACCCTTCCCTCTTTCGTCTCTTCCACAAAGAAATAAACAACCAGTCACTCACCCTTCCCTTTCGTCTCTCCACAAACCAATAAACAACCAGTCACTCACCCTTCCTCTTTCGTCTCTTCCACAAACAATAAACAACCAGTCACTCATCCTTCTCTTTCGTCTCTTCCACAAACAATAAACAACCCAGTCACTCATCCTTCCTCTTTCATCTCTTCCACAAAGAAATAAACAACCAGTCACTCATCCTTCCTCTTTCGTCTCTTCCACAAACCAATAAACAACCAGTCACTCATCCTTCCTCTTTCGTCTCTTCCACAAAGAAATAAACAACCAGTCACTCACCTTCCTCTTTCACACAAAAATAAACAACCAGTCACTCATCCTTCCTCTTTCGTCTCTTCCACAAACCAATAAACAACCAGTCACTCACCCTTCCTCTTTCGTCTCTTCCACAAAGAAATAAACAACCAGTCACTCATCCTTCCTCTTTCGTCTCTTCCACAAACCAAATAAACAACCAGTCACTCACCCTTCCTCTTTCGTCTCTTCCACAAAGAAATAAACAACCAGTCACTCACCCTTCCTCTTTCGTCTCTTCCACAAAAAATAAACAACCAGTCACTCACACAAACAAATAAACAACCAGTCACTCATCCTTCTCTTTCGTCTCTCACAAAGAAATAAACAACCAGTCACTCACCCTTCCTCTTTCGTCTCTTCCACAAACAATATAAACAACCAGTCACTCACCCTTCCTCTTTCATCTCTTCCACAAAGAAATCTCACCCTTCTTTTCGTCTCTTCCACAAACCAATACAACCAGTCACTCACCCTTCCTCTTTCGTCTCTTCCACAAAAAATAAACAACCAGTCACTCAATTCCTTCCTCTTTCGTCTCTTCCCACAAAGAAATAAACAACCAGTCACTCACCCCTTCTCTTTCGTCTTCTTCCACAAACCAATAAACAACAGTCACTCACCCTTCCTCTTTTCATCTCTTCCACAAAGAAATAAACAACCAACTCATCCACAAACACAGTCACTCACCCTTCCTCTTTCGTCTCTTCCACAAAGAAATAACAACCATCCACTCAACTCTTCCACAAAGAAATAAACAACCAGTCACTCATCTTTTCGTCTCTTCCACAAACAATAAACAACCAGTCACTCACCCTTCCTCTTTCGTCTCTTCCACAAACCAATAAACAACCAGTCACTCACCCTTCCTCTTTCGTCTCTTCCACAAACCAATAAACAACCAGTCACTCATCTTCCTCTTTTCGTCTCTTCCACAAACAAATAAACAACCAGTCACTCAATCTCTTCCACAAGAAATAAACAACCAGTCACTCACCTTCCTCTTTCGTCTCTTCCACAAAAAAAAACAACCAGTCACTCACCCTTCCTCTTTTCGTCTCTCCACAAAGAAATAAACAACCAGTCACTCACCCTTCCTCTTTCGTCTCTTCCACAAAGAAATAAACAACCAGTCACTCACCCTTCCTCTTTCGTCTCTTCCACAAACAATAAACAACAGTCACTCACCTTCCTCTTTCGTCTCTTCCACAAACCAATAAACAACCAGTCACTCATCCTTCCTCTTTCATCTCTTCCAATTCATTTTTTCTTTCTTTTTCTTTTAAATACCAGTTACTCACCTTCCTCTCATCCACTCATTCTTAAAAATAAACCAATAAAACAACCAGTCACTCACCCTTCCTCTTTCATCTCTTCCACCGACCAGTCACTCACCTCCTCTTTCTCTCTTCACAAACCAATAAACAACCAGGTCCTTCATCTCTTCCACAAACCAATAAACAACCAGTCACTCAGTCCTTCCTCTTTTCTCTTCGTTCTCTTTCCGCAGTCAGAGTCTCGTGAAGTGGTGCAGTTCCACTACACCGAGTGGCCGTCACACACGCAGCCTTTCATCAATGCACTTCTTGAGTTTCGCAGAAGGATCAGATTATGGATGAAGGCGAACATATTACCCGCTGATGGCCCCACTATTGTGCATTGCAGGTGAGTCACAGGGTGGAAGTGAGTGGAAGTGAGTCGTTGGGGAGTCAAGTGAGTCACAGGGTGGAAGTGAGTGCAGGTGAGAGTTGAGTCGAGGTGGAAGTGAGTCACAGGTGGGTTGAGTCACAGGTTGGAAGTGAGTCGGGTGAGTCGCAGGATGGAAGTGAGTCACAGGATGGAAGTGAGTCACAGGAGGTGAGTCGCAGGATGGAAGTGAGTCACAGGTTGGAGGTGAGTCGCAGGATGGAAGTGAGTCACAGGTTGGAAGTGAGTCACAGGTTGGAAGTGAGTCACAGGATAGAAGTGAGTCGGGTGAGTCGCAGGATGGAAGTGAGTCACAGGATGAAGTGAGTCGGGTGAGGTGGAAATGAGTCACAGGATGGGAAGTGAGTCACAGGTTGGAAGTGAATCACAGGATAGAAGTGAGTCGGGTGAGTCACAGGGTTGGAAGTGAGTCACAGGTTGGAAGTGAGTCCAGCCGGAAGCTCTTGGCTCGTGTAATGTCGTCTTTTTTATTGTTTAGGGCAATACTTTTCCTATTAAGGGTTATCTGCATTTTCGTGAATCAATAGATGCAGTTGTAAGTGTGTGTGTGTTTTTATGATCGCATGCACGCACGTATGTGTGTATATGTATGTATGTATGTATGTATGTATGTATGTATGTATGTATGTATGTATGTCTGTATGTGTTTGTGTTTGTGTGTGTGTATATATATATATATATATATATATATATATATATATATATATATATATATATATATATATATATATATATATAATGTATTTATGTATATATGTATCTAAATGTAAGAATGTACATATGTATTCATATGCGCGCGCGAGTGTGTGAATGTGTTTGTGAGCGTGCACAACAGATGTCACAGTAACGGAAGAAGTGACGATAGCGTAACAGTAACAGCAAGAGTAACAAAAAGAGTAACAGTAAGAGTAACAGTAAGAGTAACAGCAAGAGTAACAGCAAGAGTAACAGTAAGAGTAACAGTAAGAGTAACACCAAGAGTAACAGTAAGAGTAACAGCAAGAGTAACAGCAGTATCTAGAGAAATAACAACACCTCGCAGAAAGCAAAACTGTGTGAGACCTTGACGACGAGGAGAGCGACGAGGAGTGACTGTGGAGAGGAAACCGTCCCCCTAGCTTCCCGTTTCGCCAGATACCCCTAAGGGAGATTTTACATTTACATACATTTACGGGTGTTCTCCCCCGCTTTGGCCCAGTTCTCGCCTACGGGATACATGTTTTGCATCTTGTCACAATTGCCGAAGTTATTGACCTCTCTCTGAGAAGCTACTGCGAGTTTTTGATATTTTACAGTTTATTTATATAGTGCTCTTGGGTATACGTTCAATATATATCCCTAAATTCCTGCTTGCACATTCTTTGTAGCATTTATTCGCTATATATCCTTTTATGAATATAATGTCAGGTTTAAATCCAGATTAGTGTATTATGAGTGTAAGAACGATTAAGAAAACGTAAACAAAGACAGTGAAACGTGGGTTTGAAGTCCGTAGAGTTTTGAAACTCGGTTCGACCATCCGGATTTTTAATCATACTTTTATTTTCTTTTATTAACACACATTAGCTTTACTGAGTATGCGTAATCGAGACCATTTAACTCAACTAAAAAGATACTATGTCGAAAATTATAATGATAACTGTGTCGTTAATAATACCAACTATTTCTAGTGACGGCGGTGCCAGAACTGGGGTGTTCATGTCCATCGATGCCAACCTGGAGTTACACGAAGAAGATGGGAAGTTCGATCTATATGGCTACCTGAAGAAGATGAGACAGGCACGCCGTGGACTTATTGAAACAGTGGTAAGTCATTGATTTCCGTGTATATTTTTTCCCAGGTATATTTAAACTATTCCACAAAATTTGGTCATTTTCTGATATCTAACATGATGAAAGAAGATGTAAAGGAGAAAGTTAGACAGATAAACCTTGTTGAAAATCATTCTTTTGTATAGTAAATTTCCATTTTTTTTCTCATTTTACGTTACATGAGTAGTACCGATTTACATTACCAGATATAATTCATTATGAAGTCGAAATAACAACAACAATAATAATACAGTGAAAAGTAGACATATAGAAATTCTGGAAAAGTTTTTTTCTTTCTTTCCTTTTTTCTCTTTTTTTGCGAGCCCAGTATTGAATTCCCTTACAGAAGTTCATCCACCACGAAGACTAAACAAAAATAAATTAACAAAACGAAAAGTAAATATACAAATTTTTGAAAAACTAATCTCCATTTTCCTCTCTCTTTTACCTTACAGGACCAGTACCGATTTGTGTTTGACGCTCTCGAGGAGTTTCTGCTCTGTGGCTACTCTTTCTTCCCAGTCAGTGAACTTTCACAGCGGCTGAAGCATAAATCGATGAAGGTCTTAGGCAACAAGAGCGAATATCAAGTTGAATTTGAAGTAAGTATGAGCCTTTTATTCTTGTTTCTCTCTCCTTCTTCTCCCTTCTCCTTCTCTTCTCTTTCTCTTTCTCTCTTCTCTTCTCTTTTCTCTTTCTCTTTCTTTTTCTCTTTCTCCTTCTCCTTCTCCTTCTCCTTCTCCTTCTCCTTCTCCTTCTCCTTCTCCTTCTCCTTCTCCTTCTCCTTCTCCTTCTCCTTCTCCTTCTCTTCTCCTTCTCTTCTCCTTCTCTCCTTCTCCTTCTCCTTCTCCTTTCTCCTTCTCCTTCTCCTTCTCCTTCTCTCTTCTTCCTTTCCTCCTCTCCTTCTCTTTCTCCTTCTCCTTCTCCTTCTCCTTCTCCTTCTCCTTCTCCTTCTCCTCCTTCTCCTTCTCCTTCTCCTTCTCCTTCTCCTCCTTCTCCTTCTCCTTCTCCTTTCTCCTTCCTCCTTCTCCTTCTCCTCCTCCTACTCCTCCTCCTCCTCCTCCTCCTCCTCCTCTTCCTCCTTCTTTTCCTACTTCTCCTCCTCCTTCTTCATCTTCATCTTCACCTTCATTTTGTTCTTCTTCATCTTCTCCTTCTCCTTCATTCTTCTTCTTTTTCAATAAGCGCAGAGTAATATATTCTAACATTATGTATCTTTTAACAGGGATGTTTTTTAGTTAAAGTTTAGAATAGTGTGATTTGAATAAGAAAAAAAGGAAAGAAAACCCATAATTTCATGTTTGGGGGACTAGATAATGATAATGAAAACATTAAAAATTATGATAATGAGAATAAGTTATAATGGTAATAACAATGATAATAATGATAATGATGATGAAGACAATAATAATGATAGTAGTAGTAGTAGTAGTAGTAGTAATAGCAATAGTGATAATAATAATGCTTATTATAATGATAATAATGCCAATGATGGTAGTGATACTGATAGTAATAAATATTATAATGACAATAATAATGACTTTTATCATTATTATCTTTTTAAATTATTATTATTATCGCTATTATCATCATTGTAAGTATCATCATCATCATCATTATAATGATAATCTACATACAAACAAATGAATCAATGCACATTTAGTACTTTCAGTGTTGTGACAGCAGAATGTATGTGTGTGTGTGTGTGTGTGTGTGTGTGTGTGTGTGTGTGTGTGTGTGTGTGTGTGTGTGTGTGTGTGTGTGTGTGTGTGTGTGTGTGTGTGTGTGTGTGTGTGTGTGTGTGTGTGTGTGTGTGTGTGGTGTGTGTGTGTGTGTGTGTGTGTGTGTTGTGTGTGTGTGTGTGTGTGTGTGTGTGTGTGTGTGTGTGTGTGTGCATGCACAAATGATTAATAGAGTGGAGGGAAACGAAATAAAATCCTCTTGCATCATTAGCACGTTGTTTGTTGTATTGATAATTACAAGAATATATTTACATTGATTTATGCAATGAGATGGAATACTATTGTGTAAATGTATTTGGTCAGGAAGTGCTGGGTAATTCATTAAAAGGTATATAACAATTCATTTCTTTCCTTACAAGCTTTCACAGTGGGAGAGGAAAACAGCTTCAACAGACAGTATATATATGATTATGCTACTCATCTACTTAATGCCACATGCCATGCCAGTATATGCCAACAAGATTTTATACCAAATATCAAAGTATAAGTGTACATGTTTTGCATATATAAATGATAATGCAGTTGTAGATATGCTGTGACATCTTTATGCAAAATGAGGCTGATTGTTGTAATTACATTTTATCCTGTGTTTCACAATCGCTGGTGATAATCTCGTGAAATGTGTGTATTAGATTTGATGAAGAAATGCCTGTGATGAGAATAATCAAAGTTCTTTATTTGGTAAGACTGATCATTGTGATGTGTCAAGGCATGATGTGAAAGGACGTGTATGCTTCGTCTTTGTCTTGCTCTTTAGTTTGCACAAAAATAAAGACACTCTAAGGCAATATGCAAACCAGGGAAAAAGAGTCATTCAGAGTCCCTTACTGTTTTAAGTGGTACTGTTAAAGTTTGTAGATATGTGATGTTGAGCATAAGAGGGTATGATATAGATTATGAAACCTTTCTGTTCTGAGGAACAAGGGTGATGGAAAGATGCTTTTTTATGAGCAATCTGAAAGTGTTATTGAAGTAAATTTTGTTGTTTTGAAGTTGTTGTTCGACAAATTACTGTGAATTTTGGTTTCCATTTTGAAGTCTTGATTTGTTTGCATACTATCATATTGTGTACAAACTTGCTGTCTCTATCATTTTACGTATGAATGATACAATTGTATGAGGAGTTTAGGTTGATAGTAATACCTTGAGGCGATGCAAATTCTTTGTTATATTTCAAAATATTGTGATACAATGACTATATTCTGTTAATGTGATACATGACTTACAGTACTATTTCCTATGGAATTTTATAAGTGGGAAATTATGAATTCAAGTTTTATTATATTCCATACCTATTTATTTTTCGACAGAAATGGATCAATGTAGATTTTAGCTCGTATGAACCTCATAACCAAATTTGGTCCATGAATTTCCCATGTGGCTTTGAATGTCTATAGGATTTTTTAAAGTGGTAATTTGCGATGTCACGTTACCTTTGCAAAAATCAAACCCGTAACTCATTTATTATAATCTTAAATGAACCTTCCAAATTCTGCCCTCAAAATTGTCTTGTCTCTATGTACAGCACATGCAGTCCCCATGCTTAACAGTAAATTCCTATGGACTGTAAAGAATAAAATAATTTTAGAATTTCACAAAAGACAGTTACACTTGTTTTGCACAACACTGATTTGCTGCACAAATTTGTGATAGTCTTAGCCTTGTTAGTCAAGTTATTATATCTCTTATGTCTTATGTAGTCAAAATTACTTGTAGGAAACACTAGTAACTTTAATAAAAAAAATGTTTACATTTATGGAATACCTCATGTCAGTAAAGGTTCACCAAATGAATTAAAATCAAATATAACTTTCACCAATATTTTAGTAATTCCCTTTGCCAATATAAAAAAAAAAAAAAATGGGTGTTATGATACCGCAGTTGCATATTTCTGGCATCTGCAGTATATAGAGTATATAGAAGGATGATCATGTTCTGTTCTGTTTGATATACGATACTAATTATCACGGAAATCTAGTTATTTTAGTTGCAATCAATGTCATTGTTATAGATGTTCTGGGATCATTCTCATTTTTCTTGTTGATAATTTTTGGTCATTTATTACTCATAAAATTTAAGTTTGACAACCAACTAACAGTACACAGAATGAGCATTTCTGGTGCTATAGGAAATTTAAGTAAGTATGACATGTAAAAGATGTTCAAATTATGTGTAGTTGAAAAATATAAAAGCTATGCTTCTGATTTGTCTTTCATGGTAGTTTCAAAAATAATTTGATGGTAATATCATATTAATGATTTTGTTATATGTATACATTTTCTGAAATGGAAATATAATTATTCATATGGCCTTTCAGCGGCAGATCCAGGACATTTGAAAGGCATTAGGGTGGGGGTTTGACTGAGTGTTAAAAGGACATAAAGAGAAAGAGAAAATTTCCATGTATGTTGAATCAATCTGTGTTACTTTTATGCTAACTGATTCGATTAATGATGTAAATTTACTGAATTTTAAGGGATTTTCTTTTGATAATTTTAGCTCAAAGACATTATTCATGTGCTATTGCTTCCCCCTCCTGGATTTGCCCCCAGTGCATTCATATGAAAAAATATATGTTGTAGAATTCTAGTCTTATAGGAATTTAACCAATGATTTTTAAAATAGGTATTGATTTAAATCTGACGTGTATTTTGCAAGAAATCTAAGAAGCTATGATAAATTGTGTTTCATCAGTATTTTTATTTGATTTTTTAAATCTGAAGCGCTTTTTATTTGATTTGAATAATAGTTGATAAGTAAGGAAATTAATCTCATCATCAAATTTCAGCAAATTTGCAAGATGACTCCCAGATTTACCATTGGAGATTGTGCAGGTGGCCATCGAGCTGATAACAGAGTCAAGAATCGCAACGTTCTCTGTGTTCCACGTGAATAACGTTGAGTCTCTTCCTCTCTCTCAATCGAAATCTGTCTCTCTCTCACTCTCTCTCTCTCTCTCTCTCTCTCTCGTAACTCTCTCTCTCTCTCTCTCTCTCTCTGTCTCTCTCTAAACTCTCTCTCTCTCTCTCGGTGTCTCTCTCTCATCTCTCTCTCTCTCTCTCTCTCTCTCTCTCTCTCTCTCTCTCTCTCTCTCTGTCTCTCTCTCTCTCTCTCTCTCTCTCTCTCTATCTCTCTCTCTCTCTCTCTGCTCTCTCTCTCTCTCTCTCTTCTCTCTCTCTCTCTCTCTCTCTCTCTCTCTCTCTCTCTCTCTCTCTCTCTCTTTCTCTTTCTGCATCTACATCTTTCTTTTGTTCCCTTTTTTCTGACTTAAATGTCTTCTCTAATTCTCAGTGTTTTTCTTTTTTATTTCACCTCTAATGCTCAGTTCAGTCATTATGTATAACAAAATACATTTGCATATCATTCATATTTAGTCACAAGTATCTGTTTTAGATTTTAAAAATTAATTCAAATCTTATTATGTTTTGGACAGCGGACAACTCCAGGCCATACATTACATCATTCCAAGGGAACAGCAACACAGATTATATTAATGCAGTGTTTGTTGATGTAAGTATTTTGTGCTATGTGTTTTGTGTAATAAAGGGAAACATAAATAGTCTTGTCAGACTTCTTCTTTGTCTTCTCGATAGATACATATATATACAAGAAATCTAAATTGTAACTTTTTAGTATTCCCTTGATTTGGTTTTAATCTGCCATAGCTTATTCATTTTCTTTTTATTGCCGTTCTTTTTAGAATGTGAATATTACATTAGCTGTTAAGTAATCTTACTTAGAAATACTTCTGTTCAGTACAAGTTAAAGGCATTTCAGTGTCATGACTGCACCTCAATCCCCGACCATATAGTTATACCAGTTGCACCTTACCCATGCTGATGACCCAGTGCATGCCTCATATAAATCTGTCTTTGCATCATGGATTCTGACCCTGATTTTTCAAGGATATTTTTGCATATTTGAGATGAATATTTTGCATTTTGAACCCATATCCTGTTAGATATTACTGGTGCTCAAAAACCTTATCCAGTCTAAGGTGAGGTTCCTGACTTTTGCATTGAAAGTCAGCCTTAAAGCAGTTGCTCATGCACCGTTTTCTTTTTTTCTGTACGACCCTCTCACCTTAATTTTGATCCCATGCTTTTCCCCATCTTGTATTTTTTGGCGGCTGCAAAGGGTTACTTAAGGCCTCGAGAATACGTTGTGGCTGAATGGCCCCTAAGGTCGACCATCTCGGACTTCTGGTCTCTTGTGTACGACCACGATGTAACATCCGTTGTGGTCCTCTGCAACCCTCTTCTAGCAGAGGCTTCGGTAAGGTGCTGATGATGCCACAGCATTGAATTTTAGGCATTGAATTTTGAGCCATAAAGCAATAGAGCAAGTAGCATTTGCAATGTTTTTAGATACGGTATACTCTTACTTAGTGGATGCCTCATGAGACCTCCGGAAATCTGGTAAGATACTGGGAATCTGTACTTTCATATGCTGAGCAGTTATTATTCATACACTTTGCAACAGCACTTTACTGTGAATCAACCAGCAGAGAAAAATATTCCCTAAATATTTGACAGTTTGTGTATAAAGTGAATGTGCATGGAAGAAATGTTTTGTTCATTTAAAAGCTTCTCATAAACACCAGAAATTGAATGCTGTTGGCTGATTTACGTAGTCAAGTACACAATTATGAGATCCAGCCTTGGATACCATATACTGTCCCTTGACTGAGTTCCAGCTCCTTGACTTTATCCAAGCTTGATTATGTGCATCCGTTTTCACTGGCTGTGTCTTCCATAACCATGAGTCTCTCCAAGAGATGACAAAAGCATCCCATTGAATGTCTAACAATGTATTCACTCCTAATATCTGTGGCATTTTTCCTTTTCCCAGTAACCCCTCAGAGTGTGAATGTGTAAAGACTCCTGGCATGTTCTGTCTTCTCTCTGTCAGTGTTTTCTTCCTTTCATTTCCCAGGAGTTTGGTCCCATCTTTTCAGGGCTACAC